GAAAACAGTTCCAGTGTACCAAAGGTCTCTGCATCCTAGCCTCCCATGGTGCTCCTTATTCTGAAAAGCACTGAGTACCCTCACCTTCCTTTGAAATCAATGGGGGTAGAGACCTCTAAGTAACTCAGGATTTAGAATTTATACCCCACTTCCCAGGTGGCATCAGAAGTAGATTAGCAAGTTTGGTAGCCATTTTACCTGGCCCTGTTGCTCTCTCAGGACATAGAATCATAGAATATCAGGGTTGGAAGGGACCTCAGGAGGTCATCTAGTCCAACCCCCTGCTCAAAGCAGGACCCAATCCCCAACTAAATCATCCCAGCCAAGGCTTTGTCAAGCCTGACCTTAAAAACTTCTAAAGAAGGAGATTCCACCACCTCCTAGGTAATGCATTCCAGTGTTTCACCACCCTCCTAGTGAAAAAGTTTTTCTTAATATCCAACCTAAACCTCCCCCACTGCAACTTGAGACCATTATGATATGGACAATACCCATGTTCTCGTAGGATGCATTTGACTCTGTGATGTAAACCCCAAAGTGCACAAAATGACTTGGTGGTTTCAAATGTGTGTTCATAAATTCACCTTTTTTTCTTTTATATAAAAATGTTAAATTCAGTTCAAAATCTATGCTAATGTAACAGAAGTTAAACATGCCACATACATCAGGAAATTAAAAGTGATGTTTTCCACATCAACTTTAACTTACATGACTATATTAAAGCATAGATTTAACATATATACAAGATGTTTTAGACATTAGGGAGCTGTTGCTCTGCTCTTTTACATGGGCTTTTTTGCCAGTGTAATCACCTGGTGAATTAGGCCGTAAAAAGGGGCCCATATACAGTTGTATGAGAATTTTCACACTCTTGTGTTTACATTCTGAACTATGTCATCACGTTAACATAATTTGTGCATTTCTTTTTCTCTACTCAAAAAAAGATAAAATGATGTTGATGTCACTTCTATAAACACAACCAAATGTGCATGTTAAATTCTCAGCTATAACTTGGCATTAATATTTTTCACCTTGATATCTCTTATTCACCCTCTAAATTTCTTGCAATCCCTTTTTCATTAATACTTGTGACGATTTAGCATTTACCCACTACTGTTGCTTGCTGAATAGATGGTTATTCTAGTCACAGAACTCAATTTCCATACATTAGTAACAATCCCAAATAATTGTAATGTATGATAATGTAAGGAAAGTTAGGCTTTCTTGTTCAGTTTCTGGGGAGGAGTCATTTTATATCATTAAGTTACAGTATCATCACTTTGTACCAAAGTCTGTGGATCAGACTACCTATTGCTGGCTGATTATTCACTCAGAAAAAGAACAGAAAGATCTCCAGAATGCCTCTAAATGGAATATCTGTATCTCTAAAATGCCCATCACCACAGTATCTAGGCACCAAAATTCTAATAGAGAGTGTAATGACTTGACTACAGTGTGAAGGTGGTGGATTGTGAAAACTCATCAATGCACTTGATAAAGGCAGTTTTAACCCATTTTTGATAGAATATAGAGAAATGTGCAAATATGACATTGTGGCACACAGAAGAAAAATCCTGAACACATACAATAATTTAACTGTACAAACTATCCATTCTGAATTAATAATGCTGTTAGAAACGTGTTGCCAATTAATGTACAGGGATGGTGGTTAGTGATGTGTGAAAAATTTGAAAAGCTTGGAAATGGAGGGTTTTGTATTTTTGTTTTGAAATTTCATTAGATGCTTAATATCACCGAGAGCCACAATCACTGGCAGACAGACCAGCACTGGAACTTCATGCTTATGTAATTCATACACTAGGCATTTCCATTTTACCGTAAGGGCCTGAGTCTAAGGTGTTGAGCACTTTCGATGCCTAGTGAAACCAGTGAAGATTGAGGACATTCAGCACCTTGCAGGACTGAACCCTTAAATGATGGCTCAAAGCACAGTGTGGTTTGGTCTGCTACCTATTAAAGGAGAAGAATAGAATCTTTCCGCTGTCTTGAGACTGGGCTTTGGGGCTGCTCAAGAACACACAGATGAAAAGCAAGAGCATGATGCTGCCCAGTACAGTTCAAGTCTGAGATCCTACAGAAAAGGGAGCCATATAAATGCATAGGTAGCATAGTATGGTTTGCATTGATAAAGTTTGCTGTAAAAGCTAGGTACCATAGGCTTAGTGTGATGTTAACTGGCTCATTCCATCGTTTATTTTTTTTAGTTATTTGCATACACATAAGACATTTAAAATGCCTATTCAGGGCTTTAGGTATCTTTCCCAAGTATTAAAAATACATTGCCAAATAATACATACAAAGAAAAACACAACAGCTTCCCTGGAATCAAGAAGAGGGGGAAATATTCCAGCAATCATTCCCAACTCTTGTGCAAAAAGCTTTCAGCACACCCTACCCTGAAAGTCTGGAAAGAAGAGATGGCCTTTTCAGTGTGTCTTGGAGGTCAACCAGCCATTGCTATTACAGAACAGGGGAGAGAATCCTCTCATGAAGAAGCTGCTGCCAGTAGCTTCCTGTTTCAAAGGGGCTCTAACTTTCGACCCTCCATGGGTCATAAGTGCAGCTGCATGGCATTACTATTATATTATTATTTGCTATTATCTATTTCAGATATTTATTGAGTGCCAACAGTGTTCTTGACAGTGCAGATAGCGAAAGGCCTGATTGCTGCTCCAATAAGCATATGTTCTAAGGGCCCAGTTCTGCAAACAAACACTTACACATATGCTTAAATTAATGCACTGTGAGCAGTTCCACTGAATGTGGTAGAAAGCAATAGGCCTGTAATGTCAATGGGACTATTCACATTGTGTAAAGTTAAGCATAAGTTTTGTAGGGCCTAAATAATCAATATTCACACTTATCCCATTTATTTGTTGCATTTTCTCTATATCCAATGTTTAGTTGCCCGAAAACTAATTATTTTCACTATTTTTTCCTCAGTAGCTGCAAGTGTATTTATACAATGTATTTGACAAGAGACTTCAGAGTATGTTATATGAGGTCCATTCATTTCTAATATGTTTTCTAGAGACTGGGTCTGGTACTTGTGACACTGGGCCCCATATTTGTCAAAGTAATTTATTATAGTATGGTTATGGCATAATTATGATGCATTTTGTACAAGCTAAGTCATGTGAGGTGTCATTTGAATAGTTATGATTTGCTGAATATGATTATCCTATTTATATGCATGTATCATTTTTGAATCTGAACTTATGAACACTGACTGGAGATCTGTATTTCAAATGGGCTTACTCTGGAAAACACCCACAGCCAGCCTTTCAGGTACAACAATGAAGAAGCCAGACGCAGCTGATGGCCCATCAGCAAAGATAATGGACTGTGGAATAGCTTAACCTTCCCATGGGCATTTTGGTCAGCATGTAAGCAATGGCTGCTTTAACACTGCAAGGTTCCATGACCAGACCACATATCTCTGGACTCCATCTTGGGATGTCAGTATTTTTCCGCAAACTGGTCTGGGAACCAAGTTTTGAAATAAAGGGTTCCCACAATATGCTAAAACTATATAAGGCAGGGAGTGATATCATCTGTTGTTCTTTTCTCCCCACACAAAAAGATTCCTGGAAACACCTGAGGAACAAAGACAGAACTGGGGGAAGTGCTGGACCATGGCTAAAGGAATTTCTAGCCTATGTATGAAGGACCTGGGGATTTCACACTATAAAGCAAGTACAGCTTGTCCCTTAAGAATCTGCATCCTGTTTGTATCACCAAGCAGGTTGAGAATTTGCTAATTCATATCCTATTTTTCTAGTATTTTAGGCTTAGTTTGCTTTTTGTTTATTTGTTAGATAATCTGCTTTGATCTGTTTCTTATCACTTATAACCACTTAAAATCTATCTTTCATAGCTTGGGCGGCGGGTGAAGTGCTGGTTGGGGGAGGCTAGCCTCTGGATGGCCCCGCCACCCTCCAAGAACCCATCCCCCTTCTCCTGTCGGGCGCTTCACCCCCGGAGCACTGGGCAGTCAGGCGACATGCCCTCCTGACCCTCGTGTGCAAGGCGGGCAGGCAGCTTTCACCCTCCCACCCCGCAGCTCAGGGCAGGCAGCACGTGCCCCCCCCCACTCCCAAGCCCAGCGCCCCCAGCCATCCCAAGTCCCAGCCACCCCAGCCCCAGCAGATTTTCCTGAAGAGGAGCAACCTTCCTGGGCTGGAGCCCAGTGGGGAAAGCAAGCAGGAGGGGGCTTCAGGGAGGAGAATGGATGGGGCCACACCAGGATATGTGGGGAGACACAGCCTTTCCCAGCCTATGCATCGTGACACCCATGTTTTGTAGTTAATAAACTTGTTTTTGCTTTATCTAAACCAGTGAGTTGGAGCCAAGTGCATGGGAAATCATATCTCATGGGGCAAAGGTTGTTGCATATTCCTCCCTACATTGGGGGGGGGGGGGGGAGCGAAGTCCATGAGCGTACTCTGTACAAATCCCTGTGCATTGCAAGATGGTATAATTCTGGGTTTATGTTCCAGTGTTGGGGGGGGAGGTTAGGCTGGGAAGCTGGTGGTTATTTTGGCTGTAGCCTCTCTATTATTGGTTTATGCAGTGGCTGGTTGGAGAGCCTGCATGTAACTGCTGCAGCTGGGTGTGTCCCTACCTGTGTGTATGCTGGTGGAAGTGTAAGACCGGGAGTGGGTCTGCATCTTGTCACAGCAACACAGTGTGAGAGAGATCCCAGGCAGGTAGGTCAGAGGGCTCAGTGGTACCCCAGTTCCAGGTGGCTCCCCAAGGGGAACCCATCACAGTACTGTCTTACTAAAATATCTTCCAGAAATTAAAACCACTGTGAGCCTGGTTATTTAGAATTATAAAGCTTAATGAAATATGTGAGCACAAAAAGGAAAAGATATAAATGATTTGTGTGCCAAAAAGGGAACTGTGGGAAGGGCACGTAACAGGAAACCAGTTTTCTTCTGATATAATGGAGAGCTAGCTGGCTGTTATCTACTCACTGTCTTCTAGAAGATGAAAAGTCACATGAGTCATGTTGTTTCCTTCCTGGGTTAAGATTTTCTATCTGTAAAATATAGGAATAGCACTTTCAGTTAATACCTGAGGTAACAGACAGAAGGAAGCTTGCTTCTGAAGAGACCCATTTCTTGACAGAATGTGAACAGCATAACCACCAGTTTTGTATTCTATTCAAACTGTCAGTAGGCAGACAACTTATAATTGCTAACAACAATGATAGACGTTATCATTTTCCTTTGGAAACAAAAACAACTCTTGCTGTGATTTTTGTTTCCACGTCTTGCTGTGTGATGAATTTTCCTAACTGCGGTACATAAAGGCTAGTCCTTATCTATATCCCAAGTCTTTCAGTTAAACCTTATGCTGGACTCTCAGCAAGAGAACATAGATGTCAGGCATTTAATTTTAGAGCAGAGCTTCTTTTCAAAGCAGTTTTGCTCTCTGTTGGGTTGTTCTGCTTACAATGGCTGCTAACACATGCACTGCTCATGCTAATCGTAACTGACTGAACACTGAGTCCCCTCTGAAGCTGGACTCTCATCTGTCATTGTTCTGCTGAGTACATATGTGGTATGTTATGTAAGTTGGTACTAAATTAATTTTAGTGCATATGTTCCAAAAAACTGTCAACTGTCAACGATGTTTAGTTATGTAATCAACTGATCTGATTTTTTTTAAATCAACTCATTATTGCTTCAAGTGGGTTTAAAAATAAATGTGAAGAAACAGGTTGTGAGGCTGCTTTGTTGTTTAGCTAGTTGACTTTTTTTCTTTGCCAGTTCATTTTGTTTGTTTTGTACTTTTTCCTCTTTACTCAGTAGCATTCCTCTCCCCTCCCACACTTGCCCTTATAGTTTTCTTAGCACCAGGGCTGAAAGTGGCACCGGCTGGTGGCAGCTTCACCACAGCAATGTCTCACTAATACTAACTATTGTCTTGATGTGCTAATTCATCGGTGTCATGTCATGTAATTTCCATCTTGGGCAAAAGATCCCTTTCCCAGCAATGCTGATATCCAAGACATTGCTGATGAAGACTGTTCGTGTTTTCTGAGGCCATACTTCCGGATAAGAAGGGAGAGAGACAAGAGCCTGCATGAAAACTGCATGTTGTGTCATCAGTATATCTGTCTTGTATATTCAATAAACAATGTGAAGAAAGGAAGAGAAATAGAAGGTAAATTGAAGCAGCTGTAGATTCTACACTTTATTCCCTTTTACCAAGTTGGGCCCTGCAATGGTCTGGCACCCACCTCTTGTGAGCACCCCTTCTGTCAAGTGGAGTCTTTAAACAGTCCCAGCCCTGGTATTGCGCCATATACCCAGAGCTTCCTCCCTGGAGCCAACAGTTTTGCCCTCTTGGTCTGTTCTGGCCTCAGCTCTCCAGTTGGGCCACAAAATAGTTCAGATCCCCCTCTGGGGTTTATTTTACTGTCTGATCGTAGGTCACTTCCACAGTGCCTATGGTGGGGGGGAGGGAGGGAGTGTTGGACCTGGGCCCTCCCACTGCTCCAGGTGTCAGCCCAGGCGTCCTAAGAATAGCAGCCACGCAGCACCGTGTCCCTTTAGTGAAACTGCCTTCAATTCCCTGGACCACTTCTCCACACCCTGCATCAATGCTTCATCCTTAGCTCAGAGCTTTTCTGTGTTCAGGCTCAGCAGCCAGAGAGGAGCTCTTCCTCGCTCCCCTGGTCCCTGCCAGCACTGAGCTGTCTGAGGTGCTGCAGTTCCCTTTGGTCAGCCAGGAGTACCAACTGCACTTCTCTGGATCCATCAAGGAACTGACTGTCTATGGCTCTGCAGCTCCTTTTCATATGGCTATCCTGGCCTTTATTGACTGCTCCCTGCAACCTCTCTGATTGGCTAACCATTTTCAGCCTCTCTAGGACACTCAGAAGACTTAGCTCCTCTGCTCCTTTCCTGGGATGAGTGTCACAGGACCCTGAGGCCTCCAGCAGGGAGCTTCTGGGCCTAGTCCACCCCATCACAGGCCCCAATCCTGCACTGAAAACTGTGCAGGTCAACTTCTGGTTTACCCAGAGCCCTAATGACTTATTCAGGACCTTAATGGCTCTCTGTGGGCATAGAGAGCATCACATCCTGTTTTCACTGTAGGATCAGGATATCAAAGAGTAACACATTTCAAACCTCAGGCTAGCAGGCATCTGTACATATGAAGTCCTGGTGATTGATTTCTCTCCAAAAGCTTCCTCAAGAAGCAGAATTACAGTACATTGAAATGATGGGTTTGTTTAAGTCATACTGTAACATATACATTGAATTCTTCAGCTATGTTGACTAGTAGTCTGCGCACCAGAATAGGAAACAAAGAACACTTGAACTGTAATTCTCTGACGTTGACTCTTTTTGTGGCCTCTGTGGTTCTGTTTCCCCTTCTATAAAATGGGGGGTTGATAATTGTCTACCTCAGAGATGGTGTTTTCAGTACTAATAAGTTAATGTTTGTAAAGCACTTTGAATATGAAATCACTAAGCATTGGTATTATAATTCCTTAATAATCTGATTATGGGAAAATAGTTATACTGTGGTTTTAATTCTGAACAAAATATGCCTGTAATGTGATTTTCTCCATTGCTTTCTATTAATAAACTAAATAACTGTCACCAAACTACTTCTTTCTTATTTGCTCACTCTAAACACACAAGCACATAAAATGTGAAAAACTGAAGTTTTTTTAGAGAAATTCTAATCTGGTGAGAACCATGGTGTTATTCCTAGGTGGGTGAATTGGTATGGGAAAAACAAATACGACCCAATTTAAATGGAAAAAATGCTAAAACTTTTGAGTTTTACAAAAGTTTGTTATATTTTTGTACCTATGAACTTTCTCAGTGTGCTTCTATTCTATTTAGGTTCTTATGTCACTCTCATTACCATATTATCTTACTGCACTACTGAAAAGTGCTCTGTGATATAACTAAAATCTGTCACATGTAGTTTGTTCTCTTTCACATCCTCCCCCATGGCTTAAACTGGAAGAAACTAACTCAGAGTAGAAAGGCTATTTTTGTGATATTTCCCACATGGTCATAACTGAGAAGCACTGCACCTAAATTCTTGTGAAGAACACTATACTCTTGATATTTCCAAAATGTCCCCTAGACAAGTAATGGGGCTTGATGAATTGGTGAAAAAAATCACAAAATATGTCACCAGTTTCTCACAGGCAGTTGCTGTACCACCCTTTGGAATCTGATTGTGGGCTATGAGACATTTTGCTGACATTGACCGTCTTCAGGCACGGCCCCCTGCAGCTCTGAGTGGTCACGATTCACCATTCCCGGCCAATGGGAGCTATGGGAAGCGGCTGGTCGCAGGGATGTGCTGGCTGCTGCTTCCCACAACTCCCATTGGCCAGGAACGGCGAACCGCAGCCACTGGGAGCTGCAGGGGCCTGTGCCTGAGGACAGTCCACATTAACAAAATGTCTCGCAGCCTGCAATCAGATTACCCTGATGGGCCGCATACGTCTCGTGGGCTGCAGGTTACCACCACTGCTCTGGAATCTTTGGCTGTACCTTCAGGTGTTAAAGAAACCCATAAGCAGAGATACTTTCTTCTTCAAATTTTGGATAGTTTTCATAGGCCTGTGATAAATACCCCTCTTCCCACAGTACAGCACTATGAGCATAGCTCATTGCTACTGTTCGCATTCCCCTCCCCCCACAACATGTCAAAGAGAACATAACACAATGCAGGCACTCCTAAGTGAGTGACTTTTCTTAATGGCTTCTATTAATGCCCTTAAGCATTGGAGAAATCAAAACCAATGCCATGTGATTTATGTGACCAATCACAACCATCCAATCCAGCTCCACATTTTTAAAAAGTAATGAAAAAAATGTTCCCATTACTTCATATATATAATGTTGATTTTAAAAAATCATAATTTGTACAGTTGGTTCAATCTTGTGCATTTTTAACCAAAAACAAGCACCTTTTGTTGAAACAACATTTTGCTATGAATTTTTCACCCAGCTCTAAGTGCAGAAAGATTCAAAGTAAATCAAAAACCTTTAAACAAGTCAGCAGCAGGATAATGGCCTGTAGCATTTAGAAAGATGTATGGCACCTACATGCATTGTCTGAAATTTTCAGATGTTTATTTTCATTGTTGCTAATTTGTAGACACCTCATAATGCTCAGGTGAAAGAGGTAACCAGGTCTTCCTTCTTTATGGAAAAGTTACAGTTAAATTCTTTTCCTTCTTTCTGTTACTAATAGTGCACCTTGCCTCCACATTATTTTCTCTTGCAAGTATTCCTCAGCTTTCAACTCCTATTGTTTTCCCTGTTCTGCCAGCTAATTAAATACATAAACCTGTGAGAAAGCCACACTTAAAACCACCCTGCTAACAAAGAAGATTTCTCAATAAACCTGATATTGAATATGTTTCAGATGCCTGATGAAACCTCTTCTTGAAGAAATACATTTAGCCATGCTGCTGTCACTTAAAGTTAGTGATTGCCCATAACTATAAGGTAGAGGTTGATCACTAGCCAAGAGCATCTGAGTGCAAAAAAGTTTTAATGAATGTTCTGTGTTTCTAAAAATGTGACACTTGCACACACTTTGGTAGAAATAAGAACTTTATGGAGTGGGCACTTACAACATTTTGTCTATTGTTGCTAAATAAACTCATTCCTGTCATTAACAACAAGATGTTATGGAAATGGAAACCCAATCTATAGATTTTGTCACCATCTGGGGCTTAGATGCCAAGATGATAGTGCTTTAAAAATATCTTCTGGGTGGATGAAGCCAGAGACAATATGTGCAATCAAAACACTCCTTTACTGTCTTTGTCTGCTTCAAACAGCAAGTGTGTTCACCCTTATACTGACTTTATTAAACATGCCCTTTGTGTGTTTGCTCTGTAAATGTTTCTGTTTTGCAGTAAGTAATATAATTATGTACAGGAATATTTACTGCCTGCTGTAAATATAATGAATTAGTCCTGGTATACGTAATTTTTATTTTATTCGGTGTGCTATAAATCATTTTTTATTTCAGCAAGTGGTACAGTAAAAAGCCTAGTAAACTAAATGTTGTTTGAATTAACATTGCTAAATAATTGAACAAAGAAGTTCTGAGTAAATGATGTGGAAAAAATATCTAATATCGCTCTTATCAAAATGAAAGTTGTTTAAAAACTGAACCTCATTTTCAGCATTAGCATCTAGCGCAAGCAACCATTTCCTTACTTTTTTCAGGAAAACATTTTCTCAAACCACAAAATAAATAAATACCATTACAGAATTTGACATTTTATGCCAGTTCTGGCATTAGCATGGTGAGTTACTATCAGCTTAATTGCAGGTGAATCTGCAAATGAACAAACCTACCCTACTGCAGTGCAAGGACCTTGATGGGTTGGTGGGGAGCTATGGCAACTGACTCTACATTGTCCAAGAGATTCAACCCTGTCAGCTGCATGTGGTCAAATAACAAATTATTATTCACAAATAATGTACTGACTCAATTACTTGGTGAATATGGTTAGACTATATCTTTAGATCTCATCAAAATAGAGCAAGTAATGAACATTCAAATATTCATAGAATAAATAAATAATATTAATATTATTCAATCAGCTCTACTAATAACTGTTCTGGTAGTTTACTGATAAACCTCAGGAAATGAAATAACAGGTTGGCCATTGGAGTATGCTTCAGAAGAACCGGGCTCAAGCACAAATAAGGACTCGTTAAACTCTGGAAATAGGCATTCTGTTGTACTATAATAAAGGCAAAGAAGTATTTTACCTGTAATGTAGATTTTGTGAAGAACCTCCTCACAGAGCTGTTCAGGATGTTAAAAAGCTTGATTGTTCCATGATCTGTGTAGTGTTTGAAACAGACTCATCAAGTGAGTGCTGTGAGCAACTTTCCATCTTCACTGAAAAAATAAGTCACATTAACTGCAGTTTCTTTAGATCAGCCAGACAGTGACAGATGAAGAAGGCACAAATGAACCCACTAAGCAGGCTGAGTTTATAAGTGTCTCATTTGTGGCATATAGAGACTTGTCCTGGATTTTGGGAGCTTGTGAAAGTCAATAGTGCAATCCCATTGGATGGGCTGTTGTGTTAATTTTGATGGAATAAATGGGCCCAGAGAGTCAAAGGTGTTAACATGATCCTGTCACCACACAACACTGAACAGACAATACGGTTTGGGGTTTTCAGTATAGAGATCTTGGCCTGCTTAGTCCTGTGGCAAACACATTAGAAAATTCATGCCAAAGTTTGGAAATGTGTTGATTAGGATTCACTAGAGAAAAAAGAATCAGAATGAGCCATACATGTTCTGGAATTGAAATTGAGCAGTTATGCAGAAAAATCTCAATTAAAACCTATGAAAGTCTCTTTTCAGAGAGAGGATATCTGTTAGGGTCTCTAATTGTTTCAGGAAACCCTGGGTGGTGGAGAAGAAACTGTTAGTTCTGTTCAGTTCTGAGTTTTGAAAGATAGTCATTTTTCCTGCTTTTGACAAAACAGACAGACACAAGAGGGACTAAATGATAGCATAGTAAAGCTGGGGAAAATATGGCTTTTGTTGATGTTCTGAGGATACCACATGACTGGCCAGTCACAGACGGATGCTCTGGATTGGCAGGTCAGCCACAACAGATGTCGTTTTAACCTCTGTATCCTTTCCCCAGTTTGGAACATCATTTGGCTGGTCTAGTCAGGTCCTTCTCTTTCTTAGGCTGGGCAGAGCTGGATGCGGAGTATCATCTCATTGTGCTGGTGTTGTGCAATACAGCTGGTCTTAGGAGCAAGTGAAAATCCAAGAAAGAGAGACAGGATAAGAGGAAGATAGTGAGTGGATGGAAAGAAACAATGAAGACAGAGCAATATCTCTTGTTTCAGGCTGAAGTCTCTCTTGGGGCAGTGGTGATGGTCAGGCTGTGATGTTGCACTCCATATAAAAAAGAAGCTTACAAGAAGTGGAAGGTTGGACATATGACCAGGGAAGAGTATAAAAATATTGCTCGGGCATGTAGGAATGATATCAGGAGGGCCAAATCGCACCTGGAGCTGCAGCTAGCAAGAGATGTCAAGAGTAACAAGAAGGGTTTCTTCAGGTATGTTGGCAACAAGAAGAAAGCCAAGGAAAGTGTGGGCCCCTTACTGAATGAGGGAGGCAACCTAGTGACAGAGGATGTGGAAAAAGCTAATGTACTCAATGCTTTTTTTGCCTCTGTCTTCACTAACAAGGTCAGCTCCCAGACTGCTGCGCTGGGCATCACAAAATGGGGAAGAGATGGCCAGCCCTCTGTGGAGATAGAGGTGGTTTGGGACATTTAGAAAAGCTGGACATGCACAAGTCCATGGGGCCGGACGAGTTGCATCTGAGAGTGCTGAAGGAATTGGCGGCTGTGATTGCAGAGCCATTGGCCATTATCTTTGAAAACTCGTGGCGAACCGGGGAAGTCCCGGATGACTGGAAAAAGGCTAATGTAGTGCCAATCTTTAAAAAAGGGAAGAAGTAGGATCCTGGGAACTACAGGCCAGTCAGCCTCACCTCAGTCCCTGGAAAAATCATGGAGCAGGTCCTCAAGGAATCAATCCTGATGCACTTGCATGAGAGGAAAGTGATCAGGAACAGTCAGCATGGATTCACCAAGGGAAGGTCATGCCTGACTAATCTAATCGCCTTTTATGATGAGATTACTGGTTCTGTGGATGAAGGGAAAGCAGTGGATGTATTGTTTCTTGACTTTAGCAAAGCTTTTGACACGGTCTCCCACAGTATTTTTGTCAGCAAGTTAAGGAAGTATGGGCTGGATGAATGCACTATAAGGTGGGTAGAAAGCTGGCTAGATTGTCGGGCTCAACGGGTAGTGATCAATGGCTCCATGTCTAGTTGGCAGCCGGTATCAAGTGGAGCGCCCCAAGGGTCGGTCCTGGGGCCGGTTTTGTTCAATATCTTCATAAATGATCTGGAGGATGGTGTGGATTGCACTCTCAGCAAATTTGCGGATGATACTAAACTGGGAGGAGTGGTAGATACGCTGGAGGGGAGGGATAGGAGGGACCTAGACAAATTGGAGGATTGGGCCAAAAGAAATCTGATGAGGTTCAATAAGGATAAGTGCAGGGTCCTGCACTTAGGATGGAAGAATCCAATGCACCGCTACAGACTAGGGACCGAATGGCTAGGCAGCAGTTCTGCGGAAAAGGACCTAGGGGTGACAGTGGACGAGAAGCTGGATATGAGTCAGCAGTGTGCCCTTGTTGCCAAGAAGGCCAATGGCATTTTGGGATGTATAAGTAGGGGCATAGCGAGCAGATCGAGGGACGTGATCGTTCCCCTCTATTCGACATTGGTGAGGCCTCATCTGGAGTACTGTGTCCAGTTTTGGGCCCCACACTACAAGAAGGATGTGGATAATTTGGAGAGAGTCCAGCGAAGGGCAACAAAAATGATTAGGGGTTTAGAACACATGACTTATGAGGAGAGGCTGAGGGAGCTGGGATTGTTTAGCCTGCAGAAGAGAAGAATGAGGGGGGATTTGATAGCTGCTTTCAACTACCTGAAAGGGGGTTCCAAAGAGGATAGCTCTAGACTGTTCTCAGTGGTAGAAGAGGACAGAACGAGGAGTAATGGTCTCAAGTTGCAGTGGGGGAGGTTTAGATTGGATATTAGGAAAAACTTTTTCACTAAGAGGGTGGTGAAACACTGGAATGCGTTACCTAGGGAGGTGGTAGAATCTCCTTCCTTAGAGGTTTTTAAAGTCAGGCTTGACAAAGCCCTGGCTGGGATGATTTAACTGGGAATTGGTCCTGCTTCGAGCAGGGGGTTGGACTAGATGACCTTCAGGGGTCCCTTCCAACCCTGATATTCTATGATTCTATGATATGCTTTATGAAAATATGCTTATGAATATGACATAACTGGAATATGCTTTATGCTAAATACCCCTTGTATGGTGTCATTAGAAAGCTTGTAATCTACTAAGTATGTTCATCCTATTTGTTTGCATGTATTATTTCTATATCTGAAGTTAGGAGAATAAGATATAAACTCGTATCACTGATGTAAACATATTAAGTGGAGGCCATTAAGGGTGCTCCAGAAACAATCAGTTGTAAATGGCCTTAGTTACTTGAAAGCCTTCCTGTGTACATGTGGGCCAGCCCATGGAGAATGAAGATTAGGGGCCTTACAGTGACATGTGACCAAGTCACCTGATAATGAAATCCATCTTACATCTGGTACTTTTCCATTTAGAAGGAGGGGTGGGGATCCAGAGAGACAAAAGATTCCTGCCTTGTTCCAAAGCTATAAAACGGGGGTGGAGCAGGACAAAAGGGTTGGCCAGTCATGAGAAAACCCCTAGTTACCACCTGAGATGTCTGCTGGAACTAACAAGGGCTGTACCAGAGAAAAGGATTGAGCCCAGACTAGGAAGGAGTCTAGTCTGTGAAAGAAGCTTTTTGGAACATCTCTGAGGGTGAGATATTACCTGTAATCAGTTTCTTAATGTAATAGGCTAAGACTTTCGTGTTTTTGCTTTATTTTGTGTGGTGACCTACTTTGTTCTGTCATTACTTGAACCACTTAAATCCTACTTTTATACTTAATAAAATCACTTTTGTTTATTAATAAACCCAGAGTAAGTGATTAATACCTGGAGGAGCAAACAGCTGTGCATATCTTTCTATCGGTGTTATAGAGGGAGGACAATTATGAATTTACCCTGTATAAGCTTTATGCAGAGTAAAACAGATTTATTTGGGGTTCAGACTCCCAGAAAGGCTGAACACTGGGTGCTGGGAAAGTTCCTGTTAACTGAGAAGCCCCTGGGCTGAGTGAATCTCCGTTTCAGTGAACTGCTGAGAGGCATGACCCAACATCTGGGTCTGTGCTGGAGCTGACTGGAGTGTCTAACTCAGCAAGACAGGAGTGGAGGGGCTCCTGTTCTGGCAGGAGGGCTGTTCTCAGTGATATCCCAGCTCATCGAGTGACAGTCTTGAGAGGAGTCTCTGTGACCAAACCCATCACACCAGTATACCCAATACTGTGCTGAAGTCTGGGTGTCATGATGATGTGATAGTTCTCAAGGCTCAAGAACTAAGGACAGAGTCTCTGGAGCAAATTGGAGATCTACTGACTTTTCCCCTTCCTCCGGGAATCCCTCCGTGCCCCATTTTTTTTAAGGATCCCCAAAAGGGGCAATGCACAGACTAGCCCATCTTCTCATTATTTTGTCCACCAATTAGACCTAATTTCCAACACACTAATTTTGGTCCACTGATTTCCAGTCCCACACATCTTTTGTTGATCAGACATGATTTCAGCACAGTCTGTGAGTTAAAACAGTAGGCCTTTTTGTTTGGATTAACACAGTTTTTGTCTGTTAAGGAATAATTAGTCATGGTGTGAAAGGTAAAGTTCTGCAATGAATAAGAACTGGTTAAGAGGCATAAAACAACAAGTAGAAATAAATGGTCAATTTTAACTACGGCAAAAGGTTAACAGTTGGATGCCCCAGGGTTCGGTACAAGGACCATCTTGTTTAATATATTATACTAATAAACTGAAGGAGGTGTGCGCAGTGAGGTGGCAAAATGTGCAGATGTCAGAAAATAATTTAGTAGCTGAAGACTAGAAAGACTACAGGACCTCCAGAAGAACCTTAAAAAAAGGTTGGTAATTGGGGAACATAATGGTATATGAAATTCAATGTTGTGAAGTTCAAGGTAACATGCATTGGAAGAAATAGTTGAAATATCCACGCACCTTTCCAAGTTCTAAACTAAATACAGCCAGTCATGCACATGCAGTGGTCAAAAAAGCCAATAAGGTATCAAAACATGTAAAGACATGGATAGAAAATGATACTGTAAATATTATTTAAAGTCATGGTATTCCATCAAATATATATATAGCAGAAATTGAATAAGTCCAAGTATGCACAATGAAAATAATTAAATGCATGGAAAGAATTTTGTTTGAAGAGACACTGAGCCTGTTCTGTTTAGAGAAGAGCCAAATAAGAGGGCATACAATAAAGGCACACAGAATAAATCACATAGAGAAGACAAATCATGCTCTTTTATTTTAAAATACAAAAACATGAGGACATTCAATGAAATTGCAAGGCAACAAATGTAAAACCAATACAAGG